CCAATAATTTACCTTTTGAATTGCTGTCATTACTACCCCAAAAATTACAATTGGTATTAAACCATCGTTTACGTATATGTGGATTTGTAGAGGACTTTGGCATACATTCATCAGCAATTTCACTTAAAACGTCAGAAAACACTTGAATAGGATCGATAAGATCACTGAAAAACTCATTTTAGTTTATGTGAACATAACGTCTGACATAAAGGTCAGTTAGCCTTTGTAAAATTCTATTTCGTTGAAGGTGGAATATCAGTTGGAACTGTTGGTGAAAGGATAGTTGGGAAATGGTCACTTCCACAAAGATCGTTGTGTACTGACCATTCAAATTCGAGTGAAGAGGAATCGGTTAGAGACAAATCTAAAGAAGAGTACAGTTGCATGATGCAGATACGTGTGGGAATCATCATTAAAGATACATAGGTCATTATTAGATACGAAATCCTCAAGAATCTTACCTTTTGTGTTAGTGTTTGTAGTGAAAAGGTGAAGAGACAGGTGTTGGTCTTGATGATGTTTTCTCGTGAATCGTTTGACAGCTGTAACTCCTTGTTATCCCCCGCTCAACAAAGTTGGCGGCGGATATAGAAACGGGCTCCGTCAGTCAGTCCCGAAATCGTTTCCGGAGCATAACTCATAAACCGTTCAATATTTTTTCATCAAACTTTGCAGGTCTGTCAGGTACATGCTGAACTGGTGCCTTTTGCCATTTAGAAATTTTATAATTTTTTCTTTTTTACCTTTCCATGGCAACAAGATTGACTTAGGTTCTGTGAGGGTAGGGTTCGTTTCTGGAGCATAACTCATAAACTGTTCCATATTTTTTCATCAAACTTTGCAGGTCTGTCAGGTACATGCTGAACAGGTGCCTTTTGCTATTTGTTCAATATTTTTTCATCAAACTTTGCAGGTGTTTCAGGTACATGCTGAACAGGTGCCTTTTGCTATTTGGAAATTTTAGAAATTTTTCTTTTTTACCTTTCCATGGCAACAAGATTGACTTAATGTTATGCGAGGGTAGGTTTCGTTTCCGGAGCATAAGTAATAAACAGTTAAATATTTTTTCATCAAACTTGTCAGGTTTGTCAGGTACATGCTGAACTGGTGCCTTTTGCTATTTAGAAATTTTAGAATTTTTTATTTTTTTTACGTTTCCATGGCAGCAAGATGGACTTAGGTTCCAAACTCTTCTTTTTTTTACAATTTCCATGACAAGTTCCACCTCGGTTAAAAAAGGTCAGGGTTTGTTTAGATTTAATTATGTCAGGGGATATAGCCACGTTAGTGACAAACTCTTGTTTCGTCAGTTCTGCAACAATTTCATCTTCACTCATATCAGACAGACATCGCGCTCTTGTCTCTGACGATGCCTCGACATGAGTTCAGCGTCCTATGTGCTGAAACAACAACCTCTACATTTGCAAATTCGCTGATTGATAACAAGTTTAGAGATTGCTGATTCCGTACACACTCCACAAGTATGGACCCATTACGGAGGCGGATAACATTTTTAACCTCTCCCAAACAGCTATTGATGGCCTTTGGCAAATTGTTTCAAGTTCATGGGTTGATTATTTGATGCCTCAATCACAATGAATTGAGCCCAGAAATCCAGTTGGGGATCAATTTCATGATTAGATGAGCTAGTGTCTTAATGTTTTCACTCGTCACGATATGGCTGACATATTGCCGATGTGACGTTAAGCATAAACTCACTCACTCACTTAATGTTTTCTTGTCTAAATGAGTGTTTTTGAGACATAATTAGGTAAAGTGGTTCTGCATCCTGCTCGCCATCCACCCACCATCGAGCGTCAATAAGGATGGTGTCTTATTGTATTGGATATCCAAAATTAAAAACGCCAGGGCTACAGGGCTGTTATACTCTAGCAAATATGACATGAATAGCGAAATTTGTCTTCTAAATTTACTGCCAAGCTGGTTCTGCCAATAACAATAATTTAGAGACATACAGATTTCAGCGGTCAACATTACCAAATTGGCCCATGAGCCACCGCCTTCTGGCATAGGACTCTAGGCAATAAAACTATTTCAATAAATATGGTTTAAAAAGACCAAGCAATACATTTGTGACAAATATAATACATGTATGTGCAAAAATAAGCATTTGAAGTAATACGCACAGGGCTTGGCGTGACCAGCCCATTGATAAAACCAGCCCTTTCTACCAACCGTCCATGTGCAGTTTGGGTCAAAGTAGTGTGTTGGGCAAAGGAAAACAGTTCCAGGAACCAGTGCCCTCAACAACCAGAATCCCATCCTCCACCGAAACGGGCGCAACCAGCGGCAAACGGGTAGCCCAATTCGGTCGCTTTTTATCCCCCCGGCATATAATGCGGGGGGATATAGCGATCAGCTTTGAACTTAGGTTCTATAGGGTAGAGTTCGTTTCCGGAGCATAAGTCAAAACCCATTCAATACTTTCTTACAAAACTTTGCATGTCTACCAGGCACATACTGAACTGGTGCCTTTTGTTATTTAGGAATTTAAAAAAAAATAATTTACGTTTCCATGGCAACAAGTTGGATTTAAGTTTTCATATAGGGTGGGTTCACTTATGGAGTATAACAAATAAACTGTTTAATATTTCCTTTACAAACATTGCACGTCCGTATATAAAGTACATACTGAACAGGTGCCATTTGATATTAAGGAGTTTTAGAAATGTTTATTTTAGAATTTCCATTGCAGCTATTATGACATGGGCTAAGAGAAATGTTGGGTCAGTTACCTGGTTTAGGGCCATAACGTGTTAAAATGAGTGGGGGATATAGATGACTTCGTTGACTATACGCTTGTTTCTTGTAATTTGTTTGCATTAAAAAAACAACACAGAAACACGTTTTACTTTTCATTTCATATGGATGCGACCATGGTTGATCTTTTGTTGGTAAACAATGTATGCTTCTTAAAGAACATTCAACTCTTGACTCATTACATACAGAATTGCACATTTACTTGTGGTTACTTTACAGACAGCTGCCGGGGGGATATGTCATGTTTCTGATGACTCTTGTTATGACCAGCTATTGGGTGCTGAGGACACATTCTTGTCTACCCCGTGTCTCCAAGGGGGTCCATCACAAGGGACCAATACTGTATTTCAAATCATCATCTGTTAAGGATCTTAATTTCTTAAAGGATATAGAATTGTTTGCAAAACTTTGATTAATAATGTTTTGTACAAAAACTATGTTTTAAAATCGGTAGATTTAATTAAAAACTACGATTATTAGTTGCTGTTTCCTCGAATGAGGTTAAAGTACAGTAAAATTATTGTCCCCCTGATTGGACACATTAGTTCTACTTCTTTCAAAGTCAATTTAGAACTATGCCATTTTTAATCGTAGTATTTGGGTTAGTTATAACTGCTGGTTAACATTGGCTACTGAAGGGTTGGTTGGTTTGTTGTGGCTCAACTTTGGTTGATTATCCCCCGCCCCAACGAAGTTGGCGGGGGATACAGAATTGGTTTCCGTCCGTGTGTGCATGTGCGTCCCGAAATCGTTTCCGGAGCATAACTCAGAAACCGTTATATATTTCTCTACGAAACTTTGCATGTCTATCAGACTCATGCTAACTGGTCCCTTTTGCTATTTGGAATTTTATAATTTTTTATTCTTTACGTTTCCATGGCAACAAGTTGGACTTAGGTTATATAAGGGTGCTGTTCGTTTCCGGAGCGTAACTCAAAAACCGTTAAATAATTTCTTACAAAACTTTGCATGTTTACCAAACACATACTGAACTGGTGCCTTTTGCTATTTAGGAGTTTTATAATTTTTTATATTTTACGTTTCCATGGCAACAAGTTGGACTTAGGTTCTACAGGGGTGGTATTCGTTTCCGGAGCGTAGCTCAAAATCCGTTAAATACTTTCTTACAAAACTTTGCATGTTTACCAAACACATACTGAACTGGTGCCTTTTGCTATTTAGGAGTTTTATAATTTTTTATATTTTACGTTTCCATGGCAACAAGTTGGACTTAGGTTCTACAGGGGTGGTATTCGTTTCCGGAGCGTAGCTCAAAATCCGTTAAATACTTTCTTACAAAACTTTGCATGTCTACCATGCACATACTGAACTGGTGCCTTTTGATATATAGCACTTTCAGACATTTTTATTGTTTATGTTTCCATGACAACAAGTTGGATTTAAGTTTTAATAAAGGATTGGTTTACTTAAGAAGTATAACAAATAAACTGTTAAATAGTTCCTTGCCAAACATTGCATGTCTTTATATAAAGCGCATACTGAACTAGTGCCATTTGATATTAAGAAGTTTTAGAAATGTTTATTTTAGAATTTCCATTGCAGCTATTTTGACATGGGCTGAGAGAAATGTTGGGTCAGTTACCTGGTTTGGGACCATAACGTGTTAAATTGGGCGGGGGATATAGATGACTTTGTGAATTATACGCTTGTTGCGATCTATAACCCGTTTTTCTATTGTGTTGTTAAATTGTAGTGAATTCTCTTTTATGATATCAAACTCGTTTTCACTAATATTTGTGATCTTCTAGTTATTGTACTGTCCTTTGGCGACAGGTATTTTACTCGTATGCATTTCTTTGATATCAAATGTCTGATATCTCGTCACCATATGGCTGTAATATTGCCGATGTGACGTTAAATTTCAACTCTCTCACTCACTCCTTGTTACAATTTACTAAAGTTTTGGGGATGCATTTTGAACGTTTAACAGTTTTCAGTCGAGCAATAGAATGGTGTAAGTGATTTAATATATATCAATGCTTCTAATTCTACAAGATGTATATAGATATTGTGGAAATTTATATCTATGTGGCCATATACATGTTTTTAATTGCACTGCCTTTTCCATCAACGACAGGAAGATAGTGAATATTATGCCTACAATTATTCTTATACTTATGCACTTACTTAATATTCCAGCTACATGATGACCCAAAATAAGAACTGTCTGAAATTCTTTTTTCCTATTAACGTTGCAGCTTTGATGACAGAAATGTACAACAAAATCGTGACACACAATCTACTTGCACATCGGAAGGCAGAAATGGAGGGAAATTTGGAAAAAGAAAAGAAGGACACATTCAGCAATATCCTGCCGAAAATCTTAATCATATGGGAACTTCACACTACACAGACCAAGACAACAGAGATGTCCCCCACGCTCAACAAAGTAGGCAAATGTATGATTCAGACACATTTTGCCATACTATTATTGACAAAGACTCCGAGAATAATTCACAGATAACATATGAAGATTCACAAATGCCAATTAGAGATCCAACCTTCTCGAAAGCGACCAGACTTACAGCATCTGAATCATACACTACACGTCAAAGAGACCAATACAGAAATGTTGTGACATGCCAAGATGAACAAATACCTAGCTGTGCCAATAATTCACACAGTGATAACCAGGATGCTTCGAGGGTCATCACAGACGAACACATCTCTCAACACGAAAGAAAGGCAAGCTACCAAGACCAACAATGGCACCCAAGGCAACCAGTCTTCCCTCTACAAAGCAGGGATAGTGCGAATTATTCAGAAACTACGAAACAATATTCGAGACCTTCAAAAGGCCGATCCTCTCCTCAATTCACAACAAGTGCCAAGGCAGATTCACACTTAAAAAAACATGATGGACATCTGCCCAAGAATGAACGTCCCTTTCTACAAACGAAAATTCCTATTCTTTATCCACACGCATTTCAACATGGTAGATATAATTCTATCCAATCACGCCCCAGAAGCGCACCAGAACAAGACTTATCTCTGCACAGAGGAAATCCTTTGGACTATTCCCACAATATACCACAAGATAGAACAAGGCATATAACTGAACAAAACAGTACAAATGCAAAGTCTGATTCACAAATCAAACACACAGACAGGCATCTGTCAAGGAAAGTAATAACGACAAGGCCAAACAGCTACGCATAGTTCCAATTCATCCCTGACCAAATGAAAAGAACAGGGCAGACATCCTACTAACGTTTGGCACCAACATCCAGCGGAGACCAATAATCTTCTGTACAATATGCACAATACCTAAGAAACCAAGAATTACAAGCGACATCAAGAGTAATATTTACAGGCTTACCAATATACCAAAGTCAACTTAATACTTACAAGGCCTGTTTATAAACAATACACATTGTCAGAGATACCCAAAACATTTTGAAAAAATGAGTATAGCTTTTAGGTTAACATCCGGGGTAGAATAGGTCTTCATCAACCCATGCTTGCCGTAAAAGGCGACGATGCTTGTCGTAAGAGGCGATTAACGGGATCGTATGGTCAGGCTCGTTGAATAGGTTGATGCATGTCATCATATTCCAATGGCGTGGGTAAAAGGCGGCTATGCTTGTCGTAAAAGGCGACAAACGGGACCGGATGGTCAGGCTCGCTGACTTGGTTGATACATGTCATCGATCCCAATTGGGTGGATTGATGCTCATGATATTAATCACTGGATTGTCTGGTCTTGACTTGATTATTTACAGACCGCCGTCATATAGCTGGAATATTGCTGAGTGCGGCGTTAAACAACAAACAACTATTGTCTGTATTTCCCCCATGTGGAATATGTGTCCAATGCTACCAAATGGACCAGGTGGTCATGCTTGGTGACATGGTTGATGGCGTGTCATCGCACCCAGATGGCCAACACACCTACCATTATCAGATTTTGGTCCCTAACAACTTTAGCTGTTAGGACGAGGCGACGTGATGGATCGGATGACAGACTCCATGAATGTGTGTCGTTGTTCACAATATCACTCACTGATAACAACAAAAAATGGGATCGACAATCGTGTGGCTTGGATGGATGGATATTATAAGCAGGTTCCCAGACTCTGGTTTTGTTAACATTATTCAAGTAGCAACACAAGTGGGGATCAGGTAGACAGACTTGGCTGATTCAGTTCTGTTCCCATCCAGGATTGTTGCGCGGTGTTTTTCAGTCAAATGTTTCCAAGACTCTAGTATTAGCAGGATGCTGTAGCATAGCCCTCCTGGCCGCAAACACAACAATGGCCATCATGCTAGGTCGTGAGATACACGTGTAGACGAACGCTCCATGGTATTCGAGGCAGTCACCATATCGTCACAACACATAATGTGTGCCACAGAATATAACAATGGCATATTGTATTCACTGAACTGTTAGTAATGCAAATAGTAAAAAAGAAAAAGGTCAAAATCAATAACCAGTTATATTTGAGAAGGTATATTGCATGTGAACCAAATTAATTTGTGAGACGACATATTTATGAATGTTGTCAGAATAGATCGGAGATATGATACAAAAACACATTTTTTAGTATTGTTATAGTGCGCAAATTTGCTCAATAATTGATATCAGAATATAAAAATAATATTCAAAATTTATAAAATAAACAAACGTATCTTTACAGTCAAACCTCGGACATCTCACATAAATGGAAGTAACTCACTTAGGTGGTAAACACATGTCGCGAGACATAATTTAGACAACAGATGTCTGTTCGCATTACAGTCACCGGCTGCGTGTCAATTCCAGATTGACACGCTGACCAATAACGGTAATCCCCTTGACAAGTCGGCGGTCAGTGTATAATGCCGACGGCTCAACTAAACGCCAGCCTTTGTTTTTTTATTACCTTATCCACTATAGGTAGACATTAGTTAGGTAATCTATGAGAATACTGTATCAACCGGGAACAACACATGAAATAACAAAGGAAGTAATGGTGACAATAAATTAAAATAATGTTTTCAAAACTAAACCAATCAGAGTTCGCTATGCGTCCCTCCACTATGTAAGTAGGTGCAGGTTGACTACCAAGTGCCGACCTAAATTAATTAATAAACCAAATACTTAAAAGCTCCAACGACCTAACTAAGGTAGGCAAACAAATAACCTTCTTGTGGATACCCCCCCCCCCCCCCCCCCCCCCCCCCACATAGGAATATACGGTAATGAAAACGCCGATAAGGCAGCCAAACTATCCCTCAAAATTCCAGAAATAAGCTTAAACTTACCCATCTCAAAATAAGAAATTAAAAGCCTAAACAAGCAAAAAATCACCAAAAAATGGCATAACCTATTTCGAAACTCAAATAGCCAAATCAAAAAAGTACTCAGCAAACCACTAAACAAACCAAAAATTCTCCATCCATCAAAAAAAATCGACAGAGTAATCACTAAACTCCAAACAGGACACACCAACATAAATAACCACCTAAAATTTTAAAAAAAACACACTACAGGTAACCCCAGAACACGCACTCATCCACTGCACACACTACCTAACATTACAAACCACCCTCAATCTAAACAAGGCTCTCACTCTAGAAGCAATACTAAACCCACAAAATAAACTAGCAAACTTCAAGGCCTTAGGCGTATTCTTAATCAAACCGGAACTAATAAAACGCATCCAAAAACTATAATCTACCAAATCAAAATCACATAAACAAACAAACATCCACCATACCCAGCTCCCTTAGTTCTCCTCCCCAACCCCATCGGCATCTATTCCAAATCTCAAAATTCCCAAATTCTATATAAGCAACCCCTAAAGCCCCCTCTTGGATTGCACAGACCACTTTCGCCCCTTTCGGAAACACATTAAATGGCCTGGCCGGACCCGTGTGCGAAATACGCATCAGTCGGAAAGCGCACAATAATTCTCCAAAATAAGTAAGACTACCAAGTCACACTGCACCTGAATAAATCTTGGAACGCTAGCAACTCTGATGTCATCATTTATTCTCAATTCTTCCATTCTATTTTAAGGTAAGACATTTACATGCGTTGTTTCAATGGTTGTTTTCATTCATGTTGAAAGTGTATTATGATTATTGTCTCAGATTGTTTTAATTGTTGTTTTCAAATATGTTGAATGTATTTCATGATTATTGTCTTAGATTTCTTGAACGTTGTATATTTTCAACCACATGCGTTGGTTCATAGTTAAGTTATTGTTTAATGTATTTTGAATCTTCAATAACGATTAGGGATGTTTTCAATGCGCACTATGCCACTATAGGTATCACTTATGTAGGTTGTTATCACTTATGTTGGTTGTAGTAATATCGATCACCAAAATATGAAATTAATTATTCCTGATCAACATCTTGATAACCGTTTGATAAATAAGAAATCTAGTACAAGTATCAACAACATCGTAAAGTAAAATATGTCATGTCGTCAATATGTGTAGATTCATTGCTAGCAGTAATGCTGGACTTAGTTAATAGTCAGTCAGCTTTGTTCTTGATAGGAAACGAAATACCTGTAACTTGATGTTAATAGTTGAATGCACAATGCACGTATGCGAGCTCTGCATAAAGTAGCTAAATAACACTTGTATTAGAAGAACTACGGTAATGCGCGAAACTGCATTACCGTAATACATGTACAAATACGTCTACCATTAATGTTGCATTATTTCAGCTGTCATTGGCATAGTGAATCATACGTGTTGTCTTTGTTATTGTGCCGTTATTTAAAGTTCCATCCTGATCTATTTGTGTATAATGTAATGATGATTATTTTTATGTTATAAGATTGAAGCGAAATGCTTATTGATTTATATTCTGAGTAGTAATGTCATAAGAAACCAGACGTTATGACAATTATTTGTAATGATATAATTTATGATTATAAGATATGAATATGTGACTAATTGAATTGAAATGTTTATTAAACACACTGCACCTGAATAAATCTTGGAACGCTAGCAACTCTGATGTCATCATTTATTCTTAATTCTTCCATTTTATTATCCCCCGCCGCGCGAAAGCGCGAAGCGGGGGATATAGTATTCACGACCGTCCGTACGTCCGTCCGTACGTCCGTCCGTACGTCCCACCTGTTTGTTGCCGCGATATCTCAAGAACTAAACACTGGATTGTCTTCATATTTGGAACTAGGGTGTATATACAGACACCGCAGACACCAGTCGGTTTTGGTGACCTTGACCCCATTTTCAAGGTCACAGCAGGCAAATCTGCTTTTTGAGTTTGAAAACGGTGTTGCCGCGATATCTCAAGAACTAAACACTGGATTGTTTTCATATTTGGAACTATGGTGTATATACAGACTCCGCAGACACCAGTCGGTTTTGGTGACCTTGACCCCATTTTCAAGGTCACAGCAGGTAAATCTGCTTTTGGAGTTGGAAAACGGTGTTGCCGCGATATCTCAAGAAGTAATCGCTGGATTGTCTTCATATTTGGAACTATGGTGTATATACAGACACCGCAGACACCAGTCGGTTTTGGTGACCTTGACCCCATTTTCAAGGTCACAGCAGGCAAATCTGCTTTTTGAGTTTGAAAACGGTGTTGCCGCGATATCTCAAGAACTAAACACTGGATTGTTTTCATATTTGGAACTATGGTGTATATACAGACTCCGCAGACACCAGTCGGTTTTGGTGACCTTGACCCCATTTTCAAGGTCACAGCAGGTAAATCTGCTTTTGGAGTTGGAAAACGGTGTTGCCGCGATATCTCAAGAAGTAATCGCTGGATTGTCTTCATATTTGGTACTATGGTGTATATACAGGCGGGGGACATTTCGTCACTTCTGTGACAAATACTTGTTTTAAGGAAAAATTACCATGAGACAGCACGTTCTCAGCTTGGCTATAATAGTAGCAGCATTTCGACATAGTGAAGCACACCTGCCTGTAAAGCGTCCTTGGGTCGTCATTGCCGACAGGGATGGCGACTTGTTGGAGATTTTAGGAGTGCTTCAAATGTGAGATCAGCTCCACCGGAAGCGTTTGTTAAATTCCCATGCACCTCACGGCAACAGTCTCAATGCACAAAGATTATTACGGAGACAATGCTTGAGTCTATGTTTTCATGTACATTACTACAAACAATTGCTTATTTTTTAATGCCTCAAAGTATGTATCAAGAAAGAAAAAAACAGAAAAAAGGATGAATCCCTTCCATGTATTTGTATTTCTCAAGTAAACCATAGATCAGATGTCCCTTGGGCACGCCAGAAACCTATGATTGTGGGTTCGAATCCCGGTTCGCCAAGATTATGTTTCTAGGTTTGTCAGCACCATACATTTGCTCGTGGGTTTCACCGAAGTGGTAAACGTCTGAGACCTGCATCACTTCCGGCTTTCCTCCCACATTAAGCTGACACGCGGTGATATAGCGGGAATACTGTT